CTCTAGATAAACTATAATTTATATTATATAGAGTAATACGTTCTATAATCTATGTTATATAGAGTAATACGTTTTTCTTCCTGTTCATTATCGGTCAACACAATTGTTATCTATCTTTTTTTCTTTAGTTTCTTGCTGTATAATTATCGTGTAGCGGCACAGAGACGTTTTATTAGTCTTTAGTTTTAACAATACATGAAGAAAATTGCAATCTATGGACTCCTCAAATAATCAAACTAAATGTATAAACAACAATGGGCAGTTGGAGTCAACGCTAGATATTTGTTGCGTAAAATTATCTTATATTTATAACATATATTACTAAACTAATTTGAACTGCCCATTGTTGTTTATACATTTAGTCTTTAGTTTCTTCTTTTTCTTCTTCGTATAATTTTTAGGCTCAGCAACATCTCTATCGGTTTCTACACTATCTTGTTTCTTTGCCTTATTTCGGCGCATTCATTTTTTATTTTTTCATTAATTATTAATCATTTTATATCTTATATTAAACAATAATAATAAAATCCTAAAAACAGCTCTTAATCTTTAAAATATCAAACTGTTTTTATATCTATATTTACATGTGTTTGGCATTTTAATATTAAAATAAGATTACTTCTCATATGAGACTAGAATTTTGCTATGATGTAAAACGATTATCAACTGACAATTTACTAACAAAATATCTCTGCCGCTACACACGGAAATTATATAGCAATTTCAAAAATATAAACGTTTTAACTTCCTTGAAATTTTAATAGCTTAAATTATAGTTTTCAAAAAAAATAAAATATAAGACTATTTGATATAATGCAGTATATCCGAATGATAAACCTGCTTTTTATATTTGTCGTTTTTCCATTGCATTGATATGAATAGATAGCGTCTCTTTTGCAGAGTGCGTTTGCGAGTCTGTTGCACTATTAGAATTCTCATCAAGTTCAAATGAATTGTATCTATCAGCATTTTATTATATATTCAGAAGAGATCGAAAGCTCACGCTATTCTTGTGCATATTTTTCATGGTAAAATAATCTAGCTAATAGGGATATTCGGACCGAAATTACATTATGGATTAAAATTTCAACCTGGTTATGATTATGGTCTAAGACCAGGTTCCGGTGTCAGTTCCAATTCTTTTAGTAACAACGGTGACCGTTACAAGTATAATTACCGAAACCAAAAAGGACCCGGTAACCGTTAAAAGAACTATAATCAAAAGTTGAATTTAGTCTCGGACAGTTATAAGAACCGAAATTTTTCAGTTCGAATCCCTGCTAGCTATTAATTTAAATAATTAAATCACAGTGTGTAAGTCTAAATTGAACAATGTATTGTAGATAGACAACGATCGATACAAAATCTAAATTTACTGTATTAGTAGTAGTAATAAGAAGACTATTAAATATAAGTATATACATATATAGGCGCTAGAAGCTCTACAATATTATTCAAAATATATATTAGCAAATTGACACGCGCCTGTATGAATATATGTATGCATGTGAATAAGAATAAATTTCTCGTGACTCTTTGTGCAAGTTTCGACAGATCAGTCGTAGTTAAATAATTCGCAAGCAGAATCATATTTTTCAATGATGATATTTCTGAAAATGAGTCTCTTCAATATACATGAGAGCATTAACAAAAAATTGCATTCACCGATAGTGACATATCACGCAAACATGAGAAATTTTGCTAATAGTATAAGACCATAATATGAAAACGGAACACCATTTGCGTAGCAGTAGATAGAAAGCATTGTTACATTAAGAAGAAAAATATTTAATATCTGTAGTTAGTAAAATTTGTTGCTCAATATGCTAGGGCGTGCATTATCGTTGTGATTTCCGTGAAATCCGAAGTTCTCTGTCGCAAAAATCTACTTTTCCCAAGAATTAGATTGATCCACACTTCTGCGTAAATATTTTATACAAAATATTAACATATACATATATGGCGTTTTATTTATTTTCACGTTAGATTTAACATTACTTTTAGGTATAATATTTTTATGTACTCGCACAATATAATATACTTTCTCTCGTCGAGAATTCGCCGAAAAAATACGATTTTTGAGCATGTCAGTGTAACGATAAGAGATGCTATTGCACTATATGGATTTTTTTTATACAGGACGCGTATACAGATTTTCCTAGATGTAAGAATTCTTTATCCTATGTAAGAAACGAAAATTGTATCAATTAAATCTCTGCTACGTATTTGCAATCATTTGAGATATTCGAATTAAATATGATCGATGTAGCAATGTAAAAATCTTCGCTATCTGTATAGTGAGGATATTTACAAAGAAAATTTAAATTGTCTATTATTATATATTAGTTGCTACGATGTATATAGCGATGTGGCGATCAAGAAAAAAATAGGACAAAAAAGAATTCGTAGTACAATGTGTATATGTATAAAGAGCGATGGATGCCTACTGTTTATACATATTCTTCGGAATATGTGTATCGCACATTTGACTGGCTAAGTTGTACACATGTAATTATACAAAATTAAATATATCTTACGCATTGTACGAATGAAATTATTTATTTCTCGTATCTTATTTTAAGAATATAATGTACGTGTAGACGTGAGACTAAAATATCGCATATAAAATTCTTTAATCTCTTTATCACATAATTGGTTTTCGGTCATTCTACAGTAAACTTATCCAGTTAATATAATTTCTCGAGTCCGCAATAATCTTATATCAATCATTGATGCATTTTTTTATCTCTACCAAATTAAATGTTAAAAAGTTCGTTAATAAAATAATATTTATTGCTAAACTATACTTGTCAATTACATTCACCTGTATATAAAACAAAAATACAAACTGTTCGGCTTGGTATCAATAACTAGGAATGCACTAGATCGTAGAATTACTGGATACTGAATACCTATTATGGAACAAAATCGGAATGGATTCCGATCGGAATTATTCAATTATTCCCTAGATTTCTATTGTGTTTTCTGGGGAAAACGGAATAATTCCAACCGGAATCCATTCCGACTTTATTCCATGATAGGTGCCCTGGATACCGGATATTTGAAAAGAATGTGACACTGAATATCCGATATCCGGTCAAATATTCGGTAGGAGAATTACCCGGTTTTGTGTGTGTGTGTGTGTGTGTGTGAATATCGGATATTTTCCCGAAAATCCAATACAAATTTCTCAAAATTTAAAAAAAAAGAGAAAACGAGAAAAATAGCGATAATAATTGATCGGCTGTGGAATAGGGTTGCTTACAGTAGTTTCAACATTGCTTAGTAATAAAAATTTAATATTAATTAATTTTTCATAACATTGCAGCATTTTCCGGTGACAATCTACTTTAATTATGGCATAAATCAATTTTCTTGCGCTGAAGTCTTTCAGAATGCACGGAAGACTCAAGTATTTTAAAACTAAAGTTTTCAGATTAGAATATTGTTTTTATATCAGCGAATATTTACTCTTCAAATGATTCCATAAAGATTTAGTAGAAAATAATCGATGTATTTTCCCTCTTACAATTTTCTTTTTTGATGTAGAATCGCAAAGAGGACATTCAGCTTTTTTTCATCACGTATTTTTAGAAAATTCCATACGTTGAATTTTCCTTACTACATTACAGCAGTCTTTAGATTTGTTCTTTTTAGCAATAAACACGCTATCATTGCATTAGTATTCGCGTTATTATTGCATCATTCTATATCCTATTCTTGTTTTACATCTAAAAAATGATAAAAATAAAATAACGATAGTACTGATGTTGATACCATGCTTCTCAAATGCAGTCTTAACTTTTTACATAGTTCATCTTTTTTCTTTATGTTCCCAACGTAAAAAAAAAAGAAGAAAAATGAACTGTGCAAGAAGTTCAGTTGAAAAGAATAAGGCCCAGCACTAAATAAGACCCACTTTTAAACTTATTACTTTAAAACGCACTTTTTACGCCTGTAATGTATGCTTAAAAGATGTATCATAGGAAGAAGATAGAAAGGGATCAAAGAACTGGATTCAATAGGAATACGTTCGTTTAACATGATAAAAACTTGTGTGTATGAGCCATTTTTATAACAATTTGCTGCAAAGTTTATCAGTACATATTGTTTCATAGTTTATAATACATCATAATATTATTCAATTTCCTAGCTATAAAAAATAACAAATAAATCAATTTTTTGAAATAAGTATGAGTATTTTTTTAAGCAATGTACTTGTTAAATAAGATCCACTTATGTGATTATTATTATGGCTATTGTTATTTGTAGGACGCCAGAGAATAACAATTTTCAATGCTGCTATTTTTTAAAAAGTTAAAATTGCATTGAAATTGCTAGAAATTTCCAAAGATTAGAGTTAATTACAGACAAAATTAAAGATAATTGTAATATTTGAGAGTAAAGTTCTAATTCTTCCCTTATTGAGATATGATAATCTCGGTCCCCCGCAATTCGCCGGTTCGCGTAAAGTAGCCACGGTAGTGTCGCTGCGCGTACCTTAGCGCCGGGACACTATCAGTGTCTCCAGAAAAAATCTCTTTTTACGATTAACAATAAATTTAAAATTATATATCTATTATATATCTATATCTATAAATAGAATTAATAAAAAATAAATTAGATGGGCCTTATTCGGCTCAGGTATCTTAAAATTTTGCATCAATGCAAATTTTCAATACAAAATTTCAGCCGGATATATACATATATATTGCCGAATATTAATATCCGACTATCCGACTGGATAGTAAAAAAGTACCGGAGAATACCGAATACCGGATATTTTTCGGATATTCGAGGTGCATCCCTGTCAACACAAATCTACATGTTTAAGTGAACTCTGACAGAATATAATAATTTTTTTGCAGATTGAAGCAGTTGAAATATATATAATACTGTTTAATAGCTCAATCTCACATAGTTTTCGAAAAGCTTTTTTATTTCAAAACTTTTGATACCAAACCAGTTAAGTTTATAAGTTAAAACGGGAAATGGATGAAAATTATACTATTTCCACTGCTGTATAATGATATCTCGCTTCTGCACCATATAATCAATCTCTTTCAAATACAAAATCACTCGTAAATCATCATAGCTAAAGCCAGCTTTTTCCTGCAATTTCCTGAAGCGTTTCGCTTCTATCGCATGTACAACATCCGAAGAATTTTCGTGGCTGTTGCGATCATCGTCCGTACTATCGTGAAGGAAGCATATATTTAAAAACTTGGATTCCTCCTTATGGAAAATACTATCATTATGATGAAACGGATTTTCGATCGTCACGTTAGAATCGCCGTCTTGGATGGCATGTGTGAAATATTGTATAAACTCTACGCTATTATCGGCAATATGATTACGAATAACATCTAATAAAAATCGTTGGTACACTATTTCTTCGTGTTGCAATCGACGCGAGGCGGTACCGATACATTTGCGGAATACATGCATTTGCAATAATGTCGACATAATCTCACGTATTTCGGTGATCTCGTCCTTCAGCAGAATCAAACAGCATCGCATAATTATTAATTTATTGCCGTCCTGCAGCTGTGCGAAACGATGCAAGACGAGCTCGAGGTATTCTGCCGCCATCAACCGCACGGACTGCTTCTCATCCATACATATATCGGACACATGCAACAGTACTTGGTTTATCAACGTTTCGCGTTTAGAAAATGCTAAGATCAATGAATTCTTTACGCGAGCTATGTTCGAATTCGCGACCGCTATCTCTACCTCATTAAACTTCTCTATTATCTCATCAAATTCCAGTTTGTTAGTCTCCAAACTAGCATGTCTTATAGTTCTCAATGTAAACGTTATTATTTCCTCGAGAAGTAATTGATGATAATTGTTTCTTATCGATGTCAAATACTTGAGTATAAATTCCAACAAAGGGGCGCAATGTGACAGACTTTTTAAAAATTCGATGCCTTGTTCGGTGCAACTCGAGTTCAGAATATTGCGTATCGCTGTTTGTTCGAAATCATCAAATTTTGATCCAAATGTTTTAAAATATGCCACGAGTAGCTGCTCACAATATCCAACGAATTGAAAAAATCCTGGTTGGATTTTCTGCGACGATACTATACATTCAGTTATTGGTAAATTGTAATGGAAAGATAATGTATCTGTGAAGTGCGTATGAGAGGATGCTTCCTGTAGAAATAATGTTTCCAAAATATAACACGGTTGTGCAACTTTTTTATGTACGCGCATATTATTCCACGTCTCTATTATGTTGAAGTATCGACTATTTCCTAGATTTCCAGTCCAATAAACTTTGCCATAGTCTTCTTTTATCTCGTGTACGAGATTACGTGTATTGTGAATAAACTTTTCTCTTAAATATTTACAAGTTAATAAACATCCGTGCGACATATTATTGTCATGACTTGAAAGAATCTTCTGTCTGATCGCTTTTATCTCCGAATTGGTTTTATTGAAAGGCGTGAGAGCCGTATACGCTTTCGCAGCTAATTGTCTGACGTGTATCATTGGATTACCGAGAAAAGTGAGCAACAAATGTTTGAATTTTGTTGCGAATATCCTCGCGGGATAATCGACAAGATCGCAGCCGCTCGTCGACAGCTTTGACAAAACTATAAGCGTGTGTACGACGTTAGAATAGGATCGCAACGCCGTGTTTGAAGTTCCGCGTATTTTCGAGACATCTCGAAGCTGTGCCCACATATGACTCGTTAACATCGGATAGTGCGTGACGAAGTGATTGACGGAGTAACCATCGCCAAAATCAAATGCCTCATCACCTTTCCTGGTACATTGTCCCACCAATCTCGGCACCACTGCGCCGTACAATTGCAAGCTCGCATTCCTGTACAAATGCATTTTATAATGAAAACAAGTGAATCAAAAGAAATATTTAAAAAGTATCCAAAATATAATGGATAAACATTAAATCAAGAAAACGACGTCGCGTTACCTTACAGTCCAAACATCGGATTCCATGTATTTGAAACACGTTAAACAAATATCCTCCATATATGGAACTAATTGCGCGTGGATTTCCTTGTCAGCTACTAATGCACGCAGGAAATGCAGACGTTTCGCCCATGGTGAGTCTTCTCCGGTCTCGACATTTCTAACAATTGTCACTGAGATGTTTTTCAACGAGTGCAATAATGTTTCCACTGCAAAATGCACTGTAGGCCGATTGTTCCGATTATCACTGACGACTAATTTGTGAAACATGATTGATAATCCAGCACCTCGTCGTGTTAAATGCAACGATTTTTTCGTATCTTCTTCTAACAAACACGTCAGATATATTTTTGGTAGCTCAGAGTACTTATCTTCGTTATACAAACATCTAAAACAATTTTTTATTTAAATATAATTGTTTGGAATCATAACAATTATTATGAGAAATAATTTAATTAAATTAATTATTGCATTGTTACTATAAATTCATTATTTTTGTCTCACAGCGAATGGTTGTCACGATAACACATACTCATTACATTAATTTATACATTAACTTATTTATATATTTATATAAAATATATATTATTTACGTATTTATTATATATATATATAGTATTAAATAAAGTTCTATTGATAATTACTTGGATAAATTTGCAATGGTTACACCAGCACATTCTACTACGCCTTTATGCCGACACTTCAGTAGCACCATAACAATAATATCTATGGAACGTTTTACATGTGCATTGGACTGTATCAACATTCCAATTTCACTAGCGATCTCACATGATATCTATGTAAAAATTTTATTCATTTGTTATTTAATTAATTGTAATAATTATCTTGTCTATATATAATAATCTTGTCTATATAATAATATTAAACTAATCATGGCAAATAAGCGAACATATACCTTTAAGGACATCCAGATACACGAGATAAGTACTTGATGTGCAGGTGACAATTGTAATTCGTCGTAATCAAAATCTTCTATTTCACTGGTTTTTATCTTTTCATCAATAGCCAGTCCCATCTCCGCAAACGAGGAGGAATAAACTAAACATAAAATTATTGTACAGAAATCAGACAATTCCTATTAATAAGTGATATAATATTAAGGAAAAGTGACCTATTTTAATTACATAATCTTATTCATCAATAAAAATTTCTAATTATTATTACTACTAATAATAATAAAGTTACTGAATAATTATAAATTATTATAAAGTTCTAATACTGAAAAATTAATATTTTATATTTGGTGATGGTATAGTAATCGTAAAATATAGATCAGACTTTTTAATATTATAAATATTGAATATATACCTGTATTTGATGCTTTGATAGAAAACGTGGATAAAAAGAACTCAACAGCGTCTTTCAAAAGACTAAGCATTTTCTCCGTAAATTGTGGTGTTAAAACCCAATTTTCTGGGCCACCGCGAAAAGCAACTGCTAATAAAGCGGTCAACATACCATAAAATGGTCTATTTTTGACAATGGCTTTTAAAATATCGCTTTTTATCTCTGCCAATTGACATTTAGCTTCATTCAATAGAAATTCTGAATAACTCGAGTAAACGAGAATATTATTATGCTCATTGTCGGAAAATATCGCAGCTGCGTTTTTAGAGACCTCGTTAGAAATGTTGTTTAAAGGCAACCAATGTGCAATTATCTTTACGAGAATTGCTCCGCTTTCAATTTTGTAGAATTTCGAAGAATTGCAATGCTCCCACGCACAATTATAGAGTATCTAAAGTCAGAATTTTTTTATTATAATATTACTGTTAAAAGAAACTATTCTAAAATTCAGAATCATGATTTTTGCTCAATTTTGAATTAGCATTTTTTCTTAGAAAAATAAAAATTTTAATATAAAACTTTTACACTTTTAATATTTTGAATAATTTGATAATTAAGCTATAATTTAAGTTCCTTTTACAATAATGTTCAAGTAAAATTCAATGTAGAATAAGAGATTTGTTCTTATCTAGTAAAGTTTAGTCTAAAAATTTCTATTACAATTTTTATATATTAAAATCTATTGATTTCTAAAAAAGTTCACATTAGTTAAGGAATATACCTTTCAAGTTTTTCTTAACTCATATATGTATATGCGAAAGCATAAAATATTTAAGGAAACACATAAGTATGACAAGCTTCTTACGCGTTTTTCTGTAGTTAACAAAGTATCCTTTCCAAAATATTCCAGAATGAGAGTGCTAGCTAGTTGTCTAACATCAATTGCAGAATCTAGCACGAGTCTTAATAACAAGAACAAAGATTCCTTATTGGTAAACCTCCTACAAAGATTCCTTAAACCTCCAAGAAAGATTCCTTTTAGTAACCTACTTGAACTATCAGTGGTCTTCAAGTACTTATCGATCGCTACAATATTGTGAAGGCATTTTTTATGACGGGTGTAGTTCTTGTGCAAACTTTTATTTGTAAAAGAGAGTAAGGTCCCATATAATTTTAAAGCGAGAATTTTGCGTTGATAGCACGAGCCAATTTCGAAACAATCCAGGAAGTATTCGTGCAGCCAATTCATAAATTCAGAAATAGATAGTACACAATCGGTTTTAACGCTGATCGCTTTCAAGATGTTCGAGCACAATATTCTGAAATATTTTATTATTCCTTCTCTCATAAGAATCGTTGCGGTATTGGCGTTAAACCACAGAAATTGTTTTATCAGAAGAAATGGGTCTGCTTCGTTAATATTGATCAGCTCGACAGCGCGATAACAAAGCACTGCAAAAGCATTCAATCGTATAATTTCTTCTTTGTTGTCTATATAACAATCGATTTCGTGCGTTTGTGGCAGTTCTACATGTATTTTAGCGGCCATTCTTTGCAGATGCGAACGAAAAAAGTATCCCTGCGTATCACTGCACAATTCCCATAAGAATAGCAAAATGTTTCTGTATATTTCAATAGTCGGTTCGAGCCAATATGTAAACAACGATTGAAGAGCGTTGTGATCCACACTGTAAAAAGATTTTCAATTATATCATATTAAATTCTAGAATGCGTTCTTCTATTAAAAGAAATCTTGAATTACACAAGACTGTTCTTATATATTATATAAAGAAATTTTACAGATAATTTTTCACATAACTCTCTGCCTAAGAAGCAAAAAGAAATAAATTAAAAGATTATCGTTTATCATTAGGAAAAAATAAGCTTTTTACGATAAAGAATTATTCTACAAACTTACTGCTTTCCCGATTCCCAGCGGTCAATAATGAATTTCATAACTTCCCCGAACATTTCCTTCCATTCGGCCTCGTTTAGTTTCCTTAAAATCGTCATATAAAGCTTTGTACCGCCACAACGCAAAGAAATTTTTGTTAAACTATTGCATAATTCAAATAAAAAACACTGTATAGTTTGGACTTTAATATCATGTACTTGTAAAATTTCCGTTAGAATGATGTATTTTGTTTCGTTTTGCCACGACATGTCTTGAAGACATATCTGATATACATTATCTATGAACGGTTTTTTATGTTTCTGTAACATTATCCGGAGATACATGTTGAAAATTTCTGCGTTCTGCTTGCATAAATTATTAAGCACATTGGACCAATTAGAGAATATAATTGCTTCCAACTTTTGTTCTAAAATACAATTCTGTTTGTCCCAAAAGCGCGTGTCCGTCGTATTCCTTAATCTCTTCAACCACACGGACAATACTCTATACGCGAAATAAGTGTATCTCGTATATTTCATACAATTTCTATATATTACATCAAACATAATTAAGAGAGCGTCATATTCGAAGCACGTTTCAAGAACATCTTTCCGATTCACTTGCAGATATCCATAAGCATTTAGTAACTTGAAGAGCTCGAGATCGGAAACGGTGTATTGCTTCTCGAGGAAACATAAATTGCACGAATCCAGTTTTTGGAAACCAATTATGATGTCTTTGAGAGCGTGCGAGTCGTATTGCGTCGGAAGTAACGCGTAGAATGCATGGCACGCTAAAAGAATGCGTTCATTCCCCAATTCGGAATTGTTACTAATTATCTTTATAATGTGTGCTAGAATTGTTTGCCATTCTTTGACGCTTTCGCCCGTCGAATCGTGCAAGCGCGCAGTACTTATCAATTTCTGAAAAGAAGTAGACAAGTCATTGTAATCAAATTGCAATGAAACATTTCAATTAAATAGTAAAGGAAATACTAACTCGGAAAATCGGTATATCGTTTTGGCAGTTCTGCAATTTGTTGAACACATCGTACGGTTCCATTTTTGTGCATCAGTGTTCAGTATTTTATATTCAATAAAAACTATTATTTGTAATTTGACTGTTTCGTTTGGTTTGTTTTTTCTGCGAGATTTCTATTTCATAATATATTGGGTAATGTTAAAATAATATTTTCAATTGTGTGTGTGTAAGTTTTTATCTGCCATTTGAAAATCGAGAACTGCTTGGCTTTCCTTATCGACCTGCTTCGATAAATCTGATTTTTCAGAACTTTGCATTCCACCATCAAGACAAGTCCTGAAAGTAATAGAGAATAATCACGTTCTCGTAAACAGGATCGATTCAATGATAAGGAAGAAGAGAACAGGCAATTGATGTATAAAGGTAGTCAAATTATGATTAAAAGTCGCAAAAAAACTGCGCAATAAAATTTTGAAACTTTTTTCAAAAAAATTATTAGTTAAAGTATAATATAAAAGCCTGTGATGGAAACAACTACTAAATTAGAGTTTAGTACATTGAAAATGATATTCTGGAACGTAGAAATTTGAAAGAGAGAACGAATGACTTCAGAGTTTCTGTAACATACCGGTTAAGGATAATAGAATGTTGCAATAAAACCATTGTCTTGTTATTTTTAAGCATCTTATTTATTATAATTCAACAAGTGAAAATAACAATGTAAAGTCCAAAAACATTCGAATGGATAATGTATGAAATTAATTGTTTAATAGTTAATATTAATAGTTCAATCATGACTTGCTATGAATACAGTAAAATCGAAAGATTAGTGTCTTATGTTTCCTTTGGCTGTTCAGGAACATACCCCCCCGTCTCTATTTGCTCTTTGAACTTCAAGTAATCTCGCTTACGATCAAAATGTTTCACCTGCATAAAAGTGGCATAGAAGAGTACTTGTTAGACAGTAAAAAAAAAAGGTTCTATTATCGGTATTAAAAATACGCAAAGTAAACATTATACCAAGAAATCTTTAGAAATGCTGTCGAGAAAAACACTGTCTGTAATACCTACCCATTGAGATGGGCAGAATTTTTCATATTGTTTCCTAAATTCTATACATTCCGCTTGAGATTTGCCTTCATCAAGACATTGCCAATATTCGTCCCTGCGACTCCAACACTTTATGCGATCTTCTTTGTTTGGAAAAGACATTCTGTAATGTGAGAATACAAAAGGAATTATTAAACATAAATATATATATATTTATATATATCGCTCTCTTCCTTTAAGTGACACAATTTAAAAAAATAAGTTTCACAGAAAAAGGAAAAAACTACTTTTCAACTTAACAGAAAATTGACTAATCAAATAATTTCAGCAATAAGAATATATTTTTAACATTAATATCATTTTTATCATTTGCATTTCTCAACCCTTAAAATACACCCTTTTTGAGTTATGCTTCAACAATTTTTTTAATGTAACTTTTTAAAGTTCTTTTGATAATTAACAGAATAATGTTTATATTTAACTCATTCATAAAATTAATAATTCGATAAATCATTTTTTAGTTGTGTCACTTTTGAAGTAAGGGAATGATACATATGCTTGCAGAAATATCCATTTGCTTCTCGTTATATTATTGTCTTATGATAGTATTCCTAGTTTTATTTAGGTATATAAAGAGAAATGTATAGTATAAATTTTAACTCTATTGATGATTTTATGTACGAGGTCTTCATATATATATAATAATAGTTTTAGATAACACTTTTGTGATTAGATTACCAGATAATATTCTGGTAATCTAATTATTATCGATAATTAGACATTTCCTATCATTGTAATAATTATATAGCTAAACATGAGAGAAATACGAAATTCAATAGAGAAATTCGATACACTTACCTATAATATTTATTCTTTTATTAGGATGAATCTATTAAAAATTCACTCACTCACTTTTTTAAACTGCTACAGTATCGTTAAAACTCAACAAAACATGTAAAATTATAAATTAAAACTAAAGTGCAATGGAAAGCAGTTAACTATTCAATTACTGCAAAAGATTTATGTTCTTCAAATAAAAAATTACGTGAATGTAAAAATAATCTTTTATATGATATATACTTTTAGAAAAAAAAATATATATCTTTATATGGCATACTAATCTTTTTCTTTACCACTAATCAAATCAAAATTTTCAAAATGTCATAATACATATTTATATATAATATATGTATATTTACAAGTGTTTCTTGTGTATCTTCTTATCATTTAAAATATTAAACACTTAAATATTAAATATAACTAATTAAATTAATTATTAATATTTAATATTTAAGTGTTTCATACTTAAAATTAAGGATATACAAGAAACACTATTAGTAAATGTAATTAAATATTAACAATTTAAAAAATAGTAAATTAAAAAACTGACAAATACTTCATGCTTGCAGTAATGTATGATAATTAGTTTGAGAAGCAAATTAATCTCAACAATAAAAAATAATCAGTTAATAATTTGCCAAAATAAAATGATATAAATAAATATTATAAAATTTAAGATCATTCATATGTTTTATAATATAACAATGTATTTATATTTGGAAAAATATTTGTGTGTATATATATATATATATATATATATTTTCCATAAATAAAAATATAATGTTCAAAAATATTCTACATCACATGTAATGTAATGCATAATCTCTAATCCAATGCTTCAAGAATGTAAATTATTAAGAATTATATATAAATGTTTTCCAATTAAATAATACAACAGTAAGTAGATTATATGTGATAAAATTATGAACTTTAGAAAATATGGCAATATACATTCCAGTAAAGAGGTCACATATTCCCGTTACCATCACTCACTAAACAGCTCTATTAATGTTAACTTCAAGTTTATTTCTGAATGAGCAAAAATAGATTTTCGAAAAGCATATTTGCACGATCCACGATTATATAACTAGAAAAAACCGGAAAAATAATACAAATTTGACCAATAAAAAAATAGGGTGTTACAAATATAAATTGTCATTGCGTTAGCTCATTTACGAACAATAATCTACAAAGCTAACGAAATAAACCTAATCTTTCTTTCTTATTTCTAAAGTGCGATATAACCTCTAAATTTTTCATTTATGATTACGTAATGTCGAACGTAATGTCGAATTTAGTCAAGATTGTAATGTGCTATGTGTAAAAAGATAATTCTTTTTTCTTTTAAAAAATATCTTAAACTATCTCCTAATATATATATTTCATAAATATGCAGTGTCTTAACAATGGTATTTTGCAAATCATAAGATCCGACTAACCTGAATGTAGTCGTAATAATGTAGAAAACAGTTATTAACAACTATTTTGTACTATCTCATGTACAGAGCAATCATCTAGCTCAGTCCTATTCGACTCAAGTAAAGAATCAATATCGTCGTACTATCAGTGAGTCTTAATTGCTAAAATCGTTTGCCATTTATCAAACCGGTCGAACCATAGGTCTCGCTAGGGTTCGTACTAAAAGATCTAAACTGCATAACCTCTATACTAAGCTTTCACAAACTTTATCTTCCATAAATTGCATTTAGAATTAGCAGGTTGCATAATTAATAATGTGATGATTTTTTACAATTGTGTTAATTGTTTGCATCTTGAAACTGAATTTGTAGGAAATTAAAGAGAATTAATAAGCATAATAAAAATAACGCAAGAACTAAATCTAACTTTCTTTTAGCTACATTTTTTTTCTATACTTTTATTTATTTGTCTATTTTTCTTTGATTTACTGTCGTGTGTTCTAAAGCACATTTAGAGTATTTGGACACATTCATTTTATTTTGAGTAAAATAAAATTCATTCCAGAATTGCGTAAGCATAGTTGTAAGTGGTGTAGATGCGAGAATTGACCAATTACACAGTAGAATATTCTCCTCATATTCGACTATTAGCGTTTTTGGCCCAATCGGGTTTGCACGGGATGATCCCGATTGATCACGGCTCGATTGGACACCACCAATCCCAGCGACCGGTGCTTAGGAGCTTTGTAGTCTCAAGCGCTGTGAGTGGCTCGTGTCCAATTGAACCGTGTCCAACTGGGTGCCATCCGGTTTGCACCAACCTGGGTTGGATTAATTTTTCCTATTGGTTGACGTCACCCGCTCTACCAATAGGAGAGCACAAAACGCCATTAATCCAACCCAGGTTGGTTCAAACCTGACCGGGCCGAAAACGCTAATAGAAAGAATACTGAAAAAGTTTCTACGTTGAAAAAATACATTTTTTTTATTTTTTAGCGCTCGCTGTTAATGGGCGAGTTCAAGACGGTAAAATGACTAATAGAAAGTTAGGTGCTCTGCACAATAAAAGGAACAGGGAACAGAGAATAGAAAATAAGAATTTCAATCTATCAGAAATCATGTATTGTGGAATACACAGTTTCAGATAGGTTGACATTCTTATTCTCTGTTTCCTATTCCCTGTTCCTTTTATTGTGCGGAACCCCGAAAGGCTTAAACACAATAGACACTAGCAAAGGCATAGGCAACAGGAATAACGAGCCGTCCAATCAGACCTCTGGGATATAATATCGAAATTACACACCCAGGGTATCAATCATGAAACTTTATCCCTAAGATGGAATGTGAAAAATGAAAAATTTCTTCATTAATTTCAATAGTAAAAATTTTCACTTTTCACTTTCCATCCTAGAGATAAAGTTTCATGATTGACACCCAGAGTTCTGATAGGATGGCTTGTTATTCCCTATTGCCTATGCCTATTGCCTGTGCACAGGGTTGGGCACGTATTATACACGAGGTTTCTTACATATTATTATACATGGTATTATACAGTATAATGATAAGTATCTCTTGAGCACGTCGCGCATCGCGTCGTCCATCGCGTCACAACACGACGCGAAAGAGAAAAAAAGTGAAGTTTGTACCCCTCTCTTTCTCTCTTTCGCGTCGCGTCGTGACGCGATGGATGACGCGACGCGTGATGCACTCAGTGGATACATACCATAAAGTCCATTCTACATTAAGGCCCGTCTACAATACACGGAGTAAGAAGTAAGAGTAAGAAATTGACCAATCACAGTCGATTATTCTTCTCACATTTGACTGT